CCTCTGGGAGCCTCTGGGATCAGATTGGACCGGGCAGACAGGGAGCAGTTTGTCCCGTGGAGCTGGGCTGGGTTTGTTCAGGACGCCTTGGGAGGCAGGGCTGGAGAGGCTCCTTTGTTGGTTGTAGTGGTGGAAGGTTGTCCCAGGAGGGCTGGAGCCCTTCGACCTCCCGCTCCCCCCGTGAGCCCCAACGGGGCCGTGCACTTGGCAATGGAGGGCCCCCCATTGCTGAGTCAGCGGTTCCGGGGGCCGTCAGGGATGGGATCGGGATGCCGAGCTCCAGCCAAGGCAGGGCAGGAAATGGTGCAGCCACTGAAAGAAGTGAAGGCAGAGTGAGATGAAGGCCAAGCTCCAGCACAAGGGTGGGTGAGAAAAGCCCGTGACCCTCAGGTGGAACTTTGAATTCCTCGGAAAAATGGATCTTGTCAAAGGGCTCAGGCCCTTGTGGGTGCTGAAGCGGAGGCCTCTTCAACTGATGGTCAGCCTAAAAAGGTGCAAGGACAGCAAGTTTTGACGATAGGATGAGGTGGCAACCAAGGTGAAGTGGTACAGAGAAAAGCTGAGCTTCAGATTGGTCCTCTGCCACAGCAGTCTTGTGGAGTGCTTGTTGCTGTGCCTGACTGTGGAATGGCAGGGGATATTTCCAAGGGCTGCCTTGTGCTGAGGAACACTGGGGTCAGTTCCCTTTCCCTGGGCAGGGCAGGCAGGGCAAGTTTACCTGCCCCCCTGGAGGGTGGCTGGATAAGACTTGATCACCAAATGCAAACAGTAAATAGAGGGGGTCCATTGGTGACCTTTGGGCATCAGGTAGAACAACTCACTGCTCACCTCTGGGGGCACATATTTACAGCATTCTCACCATCTGATAGGAAGTTTTTGAACACTTTATTCCATCCACTAATCATAGTAATTACACTGATTTTATGAACAATAGGGAGTTGTTGTCTATGGTATCAGCTCCAAGAAGTTTTTTCTCGCATGTCTCTATCCTGACCAGGGATCAAAGGACCAAAGGGAAAGGATGAGAAGTTCCCCGAGAGTTGCTGCCCAGGGGCTGCTGCCCCTGAGGAACAGGGTGAAGGCTGTCTGCGCTCAGGTGCCCTGGCTGAAGTGTGCGGTTGGCGTGCGTGTCGCCGCAGAAAGGCAGGCCAGGTGTGTGCGGCCGTTCCGTGCCCTCCACCCTCGGCCATGCCGGAGCACCCGGCCAGCGCTCCAGGGGTGACCAACTTGGAGCTAAGGAGAAGCTGCCCGTGCCCACGGCCGGACAGTGCCAGGCCTGGCCTAAAGCCGGCTTTGTCGGTCAGAGTCTGGCCAGCGGGAGCCTCTTGTAGCCGCCTCGCAGCCTCCCCTGCCAGTGAACACACCGGGTAGGAATTGCGGCAGTTCCCAGAGGCTGCGGGTTCGGCTGCACCAGGGCTGCCCAGCTGCCCTGTGGGCTGGGGGTGGAGCGTGAGGGGGCTGTGGGGGAGGGATTTCTGCTTAGCCACAGTTCTGTCTCTCAGGGCAGTCAGGATTTGATGCCTTGCTCATTTTCTTTTGTATCCCATAAATCTGTATCTGATGTGTTGGATTGGGTTTGTTTAAACTGTTCCTAATATTCTATGACTGGTGAGTTGTTTCCTTGAGTGCCCTGCCTGTGGGCACAACAGCAGGTGTGTGCAGCAGCCGGAGACTGGGCAGGTTGGGGGGCTGTGGTGTCCCAGCTCCCATTGCCATCCCTGCTGAAGGGTGGGAACTGCACAGAGCCAGCAGTGTCCAGCTGGAGGATCCAGGAGGATGCAGCTCTGCTTTTGTGGGAGGTAAGAGGTGGGGGTGCAGGAGCTGGAAGGGGTGTTCTCCAGGCAGAGGGAGGGAAGGAGCAGGGAGAACTACAGCCCCCAGCAGCTCAGTCAGTGCTGGATGAACTCGGGGCTGGGAAAGGTCACTCAGTGTGAGGGCAGGTGAGAGCCCAGGGTGGCCCTGGCAGCCCTGGGGCTGGGAACAAGTCCAGTGGGCAAAGGAATGGACACGGGAGAGCTGGGCAAACAGCTGGAGGAGTTTCAAGGAGAAGCAGGAAACTGGACAATTTGCAGCAGCTCCTTCTGTGTGTGTGTGCGTGTAACCAGGTCTAGCGCAGCCACAAGTGAGGTGGGAAATGAACCTCAGGAGGCCG